TGTAACTTGACATTATCTACCCAAATATGTTAATATTATAACAAATAAGGACAGAAGACAAGTTAGACATAAAGTCAAGATTGTAGAATATAACAGCATTTTAACATCCGCCCTCAATCTTGACTTCTAAACAGATAAATCATTCTTAATTTTGAACATAAGTAATTATGATGAGTTATATTAAGAGCTTTGGTTAATATATCTGCTGTTTGTTCAAGAGAAGAAACCTTTTCAATCTTTAAAATGCCTCTACTAATCTTTTCACGAATAAAATGAATATTTATCTCTATGTGCTTAGTGCGTTCGTGGAAAACAAGATTATTTGCTATCTGAATAGCTGATTTATTGTCACAAAAAAGATTAACAGGAATGAGATCATTTATATTCAGATCAGTCAAAATTTTAATCACCCAATAATTTCACAAGACACGGTTGCCATAGCCCTATACTCAGACTCGGCGGAAGAACTTGAAATAGTGTTTTGTTTCTTACTTTTCCATGAAATTAAGGAATTTCCTAGAAACAAACAATATCCAGTTACAGAACGACGAGAGGATAAACACTTACCCCAATCAGCGTCTACATAAGTAGTAAGTTTAAAGAATTCTGACCTTGTAAAGTTGATTCCTTTTCCGGGTGACAATTTAAGATACCTGAGAATTCTGAGTGCTAAATTTAAATGAGACTGCCTTGGAGTATGCATGAACTGACTCAAACAGTGAACATCAAATGCAATATCAGGTCTAATGGCTAAAAGATAAATTAGCCTACCTATTAACCTTTGATAACCAGTACAGTCAGACAAGAGAGAATCTTTAGAACAATTTGAATCTGAAATGATCAAATTTACATCCATAGGTGTAGATGAAGGTTTGCAACCCAAATAACCAAAGTCATTTTATAATTCTAAACAGTACTTTCTTTGGGACATATAGAGACCATTTATACATTCAAGAATTTCAATTCCTAAAAAGTATTTTAATTTTCCCAAGTCTTTTATTCAAAACTTTGTTTTTAAGTATTCCTTAAAACTATTTATTTCTCTCAAACTATTTCATGTTATTACTATATCATCCACATAAACAAGAAGCACTAAAAAGATAGAACCAACATGTTTGGTAAACAAGGAGTAATCACTTATACTTTGTACAAACCCATTTTCAGTCAAACAAGCAGAGAGTTTGGCATACCATTGACGGGGTGCTTGTTTTAAGCCATACAATGATTTAATCAACTTACACACACGAGTATCCTTGGGATTGTAATACCCTTCAGGAAGGGTCATATAAACATCTTCAACCAAGTCACCATACAGAAAAGCATTATTAACATCAAGTTGATATAAAGGCCAGCTAAATTGAACGACTAAGGCTATAATACATCTAACGGTAACCATTTTAACCACTGGAGAAAATGTCTCTTCATAATCGAGACCCTCTCTTTGGCTATAGCCCTTAGCAACTAACCTAGCTTTATATCTTTCTATCTCTCCAGTGGACTTATATTTAATCTTATAGACCCACTTGCAACCTATAGCTTTTCTATTTTTTGGTAATTCAGTGACAATCCAAGTACAATTCATATGTAAAGCTTTCATCACGTCATTCATAGCATTCAACCAATTTTGATCATTATAAGCTTCACTAAAAGACTTAGGCTCACCTGACTTATTTAGGTTTGAAACAAAGCAAAAATTATCAGCAGACAAACAGGAATAGTTGACAACTCTTTCTATGCCATATTTGACCTTTCCCTCTACAACAAAGTCATCAAACTTTCGAGGAAAGACACTAGTTCTAGTAGATTTCCTAATACTTTGAGTCTGGGAAGAACCACCCTCAGAAATAAGACCTAATGAATCATCATTTGTATTTTCAGAAGACTGAACAACATCACGAGAGTGCCTGGCAACCATGCTAGGACTGCCCAAAGGCTACCAACTGGTAACTCCTCTTTCAAGATTACCTTCTAATGAAGGATCTTGACTATACTGAATCTCAGAGCTACCTAGAGGCTTTCTATTGTCATTCCTAGACCGGCTACCTAGATCACTACGGTTACTAGTTCTAGAGTCAGAAAGATGATTATTATCATCATGAATAAGTCTTTTATCCTCATCATCGGGTCCCACAACATCAAAATTATTAGAAGAACTAGACAAAGTATCAAAGAAATTAAGATTGTTAACATCTTCATTAATCAAAGAATTTGTGTCATCTTACTCATCTTGAAAAGAAAGACACTATCATAAAAGTTGACATCTCTGGAAAAAAAAACAATTTCTTTGTATCAAGACTAAAAAGTCTATAACCTTTTTTTGAATTTGCATATCCCAACATAACGCACTTTTCAGATTTTGGGGAGAATTTATCAGTTATGTTTGGAATTAAAGCAAAACAGAGACACCCAAAGTTTCTCAAATGAGTAAGCACAAGAGAAAAACCATATACCAAATCATAGGGACTCTTACCATTAAGAACAGAAGTGGGAGTTCTATTTATTAGATATGTGGCAGTTAAGACACATTCATTCCACATGTTAAGCGGGATCCCAGCCTGAAACATGAGAGCCCTAGAAACATTTAGTAAATGCCTATGTTTTCGTTCAACAACGCCATTCTGCTGAGGCGTATAAACACTAGAAGTTTGAAGCAAGATTCCTTTGGACTCAAAAAACCCAACTAATTTTTGATTTACAAACTCAGTTCCGTTATCACTCCTACAGATTTTAACAGATTTCCCAAACTGATTTTTTAAGAAATTGCAGAAAGTCTCAATATATTCACAGACCTCATGTTTTCCTTTTAAGAGATAGACCCAGACAGCTCTAGTAAAATTATCAACAATGGTTAGAAAATATCTATACCTCTTTACTAAGGACATGATAAGGACCCCACACATCAAGATGAATGAGGTCACCAAGACTTTTGGTTTTATGAATACTAATACCAAAATTTTCTCTTGTTTGTTTTGCCTTATGGCAAACTTCACAAGGACCACAAGAATCACTACTAATATTTAGCCTTTCTTTTAAAACCTGAAGCACTTGCTCAGCAGGGTGACTAAGGCGACTGTGCCATAACTGAGATGAAACAAAATGAACCATACCACAGTTATTAGAAGAGAGGAAGTTGGTAGTTTTAGAGTGTTGATCGAAGAAATAAAGTCCGCCATCCTCACTACCAGTCCCCACTATACTCATTTGACGACAGTCCTGAACGTAACATTTGGATTCATCAAATCTTATGAAGACCTTATTATCCCTAGCTAATTTATGCACAGATAAAAGGTTCACATTGAATTCAGGAACAACAAGAACGTCAAACAAAGTAACATTACTGGACAGTTTCAGGTTACCAATTTTATTTATTTTTGCCTTAGTCCCATTAGGATGACAGACTCTAAGATTCAAATCTGAAACATCAACGACGTTTTCCAAATTTTGAGAACTACTAGTATGTGTTGGTTAGCTCCTGAATCTATAATCCACCCAGAACGAGAATTATGAAACATACCTGCCATATTGGCAGAAGCTTCATCAATATTTGGTTTTTGATCAATTAGACTCAAAATTTTAGCAACCTGTTCTTCTGAAAAGGAAAAGGAAGGTTTAGAAGTAACAGACTCAGAAGAGATAACATTTCCAGCAGTAGGTCTAAAATTAGGTCCTTGAGCCTTAAAATTTTGATTTAGAGGTTTAGCCCGATTTTGAAAATCTTTTGGAAATCCTATCAATTGAAAACATCTTTCAATAGTGTGACTTGTATTTCCACAATGTTTGCAAACCAGGCTTGCTGGTGGTTTTCCAAATTTACGTTTATTTTCAAAGCCTTCGCTCAAAAAAGCAGTATTCCGAGTTTTAACATGGTTTTGGCTAACATTAATACCTCTATGAGACTCTTCCCTAGATACTAAAGAAAAAGCAGTTTTGACCGAGGGAAGAGGGTCTCTGGTTAAAATACTACTTCTAATGGGTTGGTAAATGTCATCAAGAAGCATAAGAAACTGCATCAATTTTATCAGTTGACTATGAAGAGAAAAATCATGAGACGCCTTGCAAGAACAGGAAGGAAGTTTAACCAGGGCGTCAAACTGTTTCCAAAGGGAATTAAGCTTGTGATAGTACTCGGAAACAGACATATTATTTTGGCTCAAAGAATTAATTTTTTGGTACAAGTTGAAAGTTACAGACCCATCCACTTTATCGTAAGTTTTCTTTAATTCCTCCCAAACTTGGGAGGATTCTTTTGAAAAAACTTGACCAAGGAACAAGTCCTCGGTCATAGAGCTCAATATCCATGAGAGAACAACGGAATTGCAACGATCCCACTGTTTCTCAAGAACGGGGTCATCAACAGGACGCGGACAGGAACCATCTATGAAGCCAGTTTTATTTTTAGTTTCGAGAGCCAGGATAATAGCATAAGACCAAACCTTATAGTTTCCAGTCCCACTTAGTTTAAAGGACAAAATGAAACCTCCACTAGTGTCGTTGGGATGTAAATATAGTGGNATAGCATAAGACCAAACCTTATAGTTTCCAGTCCCACTTAGTTTAAAGGACAAAATGAAACCTCCACTAGTGTCGTTGGGATGTAAATATAGTGGATCCCCAAAGTCTAATTTTGTGACCTTGGAGTCCACCACAGTCCCAGCTTCACCCTTTGAAGATGCCATGCAAACCACACAAAAAAAAACACACCAAAGGAATCTGAAATGCTTAAAGGCAGGATTGCTAAAACACTGATAATCATGCTAGGTCAAGCCAACAAGACAGAATCCTTAAAAGAAAAAAAGAGAGAAAAAAAGAGAGAAACAGAAAACAAGAACAACAATAAGGCAACCTTACCACAGAAATAGCAACAGTAATAATAGCAAACTTACCACAGATTCCTTTAACGAGGTTAAAGGAAAAGCACACAAAACAACCACCTGTTATAGCAAGAGCAGAATACTCACAGCAGCTTTCTTTTAACAAAGAGTTAAGAGAAAGGACAAAACAAAAAAATCAAGAAGAAGGAATATTACAGAACAGAAGGAGAACCAAGATCCACCTGAACAAATGAAGCGAGTTAGAGTAACAATAACATGCCAGATCGAGAAAGACTCAGATCTTGACCACATAAATATATTCCTATTATGAATCATAAAAGAGTATATAGAATAGACTAAATGAGAAACAAACAGTAACAAAATGCCAGATCTAGAACAACATGTTCTAACACAGATCTTGACTTAACCAGAATCATATCACATTTTTAACATTCATAAAAGAGTCAAAAAAATATACTTCACAAAAAAGGGGACCATACTAGATCCGAAGGATCAAACGATGGTACGACCACAACGATCATATTAAGAAATCTCCACACGAAGATATACAGAAAAAATTTCCAGATTAACAAGATATACAAACATTATAACAAATCTTATGAAGAAAAATAACATTCAGAGAGCATAATATGTATTTAACATGACAATAACCGAATAAAACTGATCTGGAATGAGAGGGGACACAGATCTTAAAGAAGATCTGGAATAAATGAACACAGATCTTAAAAAAATGTACATGTGAATACAGATTATGATAAAATAGATCTGGAAGTAAATGGACATAGATCTGAAAATAAGATCTGGAATAAGGGACACAGATCTAAACAAGAACATATACGAAGAAAAAAACGAAAACAACAGATCTCGAAAAGGGACCTATTTGGATGTATAAGATCTAGGTACAACCTGATCGATCATTTCAAAGAAACAGAAACAGAATCGTTGCACAAGGACATCTTAGAGAGATCTGGTATCAAGATGTAGAAAAACATCAAGAACACACCAGAATCTCGTCCAATCATCTATCCAACCCAATATAAGCGATTAAACAGTAAAAGAGACGAAGGAATACGTACCTTAAGCTTTGATACCATGTTCGCACCAAGAATATTTGAACATTTATTTTATAAAATGTATTGAAATATAGAGAAGTACAGAATACAACTTACTTGATAAAAGGAACTATCGCTAATCTTTACAACAATCTATGAATCTGAGTCTAGAATATGAAAGAAGAACAATGAGAGCAAACAATAGAGAGAGAAATCTT